AAAATAATTAGTTGAGAATTAATTATTATTTAAATAATGTGATTATTTAAATTTGAATTTGAACACATCTAGATTTATCCATTTAAACTTATTTGATAAGTTGTTCAATTTAGAATTCAAATTAATTTAAGTTTGACTTAAATTGAAATTTGAATTTGAGTCAAAATTGGACTACAGGATAAATGATGATTTTCTCTTCCTTCCCTATCTGATATTGGCACCACACAGGAATGAAAATCCCCTTAGAATGGCCGGCCATATAGGATAGAGGAAAAGATGAGATTTTGTTTAAAATTCAAATAGGAGATAATTAACAAGCTTTATCTTAGAGATAGAGATTGGATTCCTTCTAGAAGTTTGACTTTTACTCTATAAATACTATTTTTGAGACAATTTTCGGAATGGTTTTTTACCCTAATTTTAGAGGTAGCCGAAATTTCTCTATAGAAATTTTGGAAACAATTTTTCAGCCCTAAGAGTTAAGGCTGGCTGAAATTCTCAAGAGAGAGAGGAAGGAAAAAAAATTTTCTCCAAAAATTCCACATCGTGCATGCGTTGGTGTTTGTAGAAATTTGAGTGTTTATTGTAACCCCTTTTGTCTCATGTGTGCCCACACACACGTCTTCGTGGATTCTAGGAATTGACGTGGAAGACATTGGTTTTCTAAACACAAAGATTGGAGTAAGGACTGTTCGTGGTCAAAGAACTCAAGTTATCATCCGAGTCGGCTTCCAGGTATTTTTTCTGATTGAGTTCTTGATATATATAAGTCAATGAGATTAATTTATTCGTGCATAAATTAATATAATCTATAGAGTATCTCAAAAGTTTTATGAAAATTTTTGTTATACATGATCCGCCTCTTCCCCGCACCACCACGCTTCCGCATCCGGATTCGATTCGGAGACCAACAATTGGTATCGGAGCGGTCTATAGACGATATTAATTTATGCTCTGATTATTTGATAATCACAAATTAATTATGTATGTATGTGATGGGTAGCCACTTGCATTTGTGGATGTTTATATTTGATTTATGATGATGAATGTATCGATGATGGATTTGGTCGTTAATTATATGGTTCCATGGATCGCATTAAATTCGTTCAAATTAAATTATTTGTAATTTAATTCGGGATTA